TAATAATATTTTGTAAACATCTTCATAAATTTAATTAAAATTATATAAATTTTTCTAATAATTTTTAGCTTGGTAAAATTCTGTGTTCAAGGATTTCCAGACAGCTGATAGGACACTTGTGTGGGCGGGGCTTCGTACCGTGCTGTGATTGATAGTTTGTGGCAGTAGGCGGAGCTTGGTCCTTGTAGAGTCCTAGCAGAGAAACGAGGGGTAGGAGCGTCTCAGCGTGACCCACCAGGATGGAGGCTGGTTCTGGAGCCGCCTCGGTGGCCCTGAAGGGACCGGGTCAGACATTGGACAGGGGTCAATCATTGACCAATCAGAGGTCGGCCTGACTTCCTGCAGCTGATCGGACGATCAGGTGGTCACTTACCTGCGAGGTCGGCCAGCTTTGTCCAACGTCCTGAAGATGTGATGGAAGAGAGGACAGCTGGACATGCTGTTGATCAGGTGACCGTAAGACCGCTTCCAGAACTGCTTCAGGTCCGATTTGTACTCCAACACCTGCAGACAAGCAGCAGGGAGAAAAAACCCACAACGTTTGCTTTTACTACAAAATGTGGTACATTTTATAAGTGATGATAAAATGTTTACATAACAAATATATATATATAATTTTGTAGTTATTATAATTTTAAGAACTTTTTTATTTATCTACAATGTTTGAACAAACTTTATTTGTGGAACCTTTGCATCGCTCTCATCAAACAGGAAGCACCACGGAGAGTGGACGGACTTGATTGACAGCTCGTAGGAACACAGGAAGAAGGCGGCTTCCACCAAATCTACAGGAGCCACAGAGGGACAAAAAGTCAAACAAACTACAAATGTACAGGAGCCACAGAGGGACAAAAAGTCAAACAAACTACAAATCTACAGGAGCCACAGAGGGACAAAAAGTCAAACAAACTACAAATCTACAGGAGCCACAGAGGGACAAAAAGTCAAACAAACTACAAATCTACAGGAGCCACAGAGGGACAAAAAGTCAAACAAACTACAAATCTACAGGTGCCACAGAGGGACAAAAAGTCAAACAAACTACAAATCTACAGGAGGCACAGAGGGACAAAAAGTCAAACTCTGTGTCTCTCACCTGGTGTGAGACGATGAAGAGGAAGGCCCAGTTTTTCAGCCGTCCTCCTCCTCAGCGCCTCCATCTCCTCCCCGTGTTTGAACTTCTCCACCTCCATCAGAGCCGTACGGTTGTTCTCCACGCCGTCCACGTAACCACGGCATCGCTCGAAGAAACGCATCAGAACATCATCCACCTGGTGGCTGTACTCCGGAGGGTGGTCTGCGGGGGTCAGAGGTCACAGGTCAGGCAGGCGCTCGTCGTGTTTCCCAGAATGCCCGTGGTCTCACCGTGGCGCCCGTAGAGCTGCCGCAGACCATCCTGGAAGGCCTCCACGCTGCTGACGCAGCGGTGCTTGGAGCTGCTGACGAAGCTGATCTTCCTCTTCCTCAGGTTCTCCGCGGATAGCAGGGATGAAAACAAGGAGGCCAGGCGCTGGGCCAGGTGTCTGAGGTCATCGCTGCCCTTCATCACCAGCTGACCTGAGGGAGAGGAGAAAAAAACAGGGGGCGGAGCCAGAGCCATGACACCTGATTGGCTACTCCCAAATAACTGACAGGTGAGGTGGGGACAACGTGGCATTTCAAAGACAACACTCAGTTAAAATAAAACAATTGTGTGTGACAGTTCTGTGTTTAAGAACCAGTTACAGAACATTATCAGAACAGTTCCTCGAGGAACTTTGAGGAGAATAAATTTTAGCCCATTGTACAATTAGCATTAGCAAATTAGCATTTGGCACGTGTTTGGGATCATTCTTAACGACATCACAACAAATTTCAGCTCAGTTATTCTTAAAAAAAGCTGACTTAGCCATTTAAAATGAGCTGTGGTGGCCATCTTGGATTCTTGATTAATATTTTGTATTTGGTAATGGTTAGTTATGGTTTCGACGACACTAATTTTCAATGTTTTTATGCCTTAAAAAAGGCTTAATTATAGTTCTAAATAAAATTTGCTTTAAAATTAATTTGCTCAAATTACCTACTACATTTTTCTGAACTCCTTGGTCCTGTGATGCTAATCCAATGCATATAGGCAGTGGTGGGCAGCACTAATCCCAAAATTAGTTCCACTAGCCCAGGGGTCTGCAACCTGTGGCTCTGGGGCCACATGTGGCTCTTTGGTCCCTCTGCAGCGGCTCTTTAAAAACACAACAGAATAATATTTTTTATTTGTTTTTATACTCACAAAAGAAATCAATTTATATGAAAAAATGTGATCAATACTACTAATACAAAAAGTAAAACATGTTGATTAGCTCATGCTAGCCTGTTGTTCACTTAAATAATCCAACTTCTTTTAATGATCTTTCTTTCAAATACATCAGAATTACCTTTAAAAAAATTAAAGACTACATAATAAGAAGAGTTAGAAAAAATATACTGTACCTGAATATTTCCGTTGTGCTAGTTTTTATGAAATTCGGTAAAAACTACAAACAGTATTTTTCTTGTTTACATGGATCTGGTCTTTTCATTTGTCCTGATGTGTAAAAATAACAATGAATAATAAAATTCAGAACATATTTTTTGTTTTATAATGTCACCTCCGCTGGCCGTAAAGGTTCTCGAAAAGGCCTCGAAAAAGTCCACGGACCACCAGTTGATAATTACAGTTGTAGCTTGCTTTGCGGCTCTGGACATATTTTATCAGTGAGCCAAGTAGCTTAAATGGCTCTTTTGATCGTAAAGTTTGCAGACCCCTGCACTAGTCCTAAAGCACTAACTAAATATTTAGGTCCCCTAATTCTAACCCCTTAAAGCACTAATATAATCGAGCTGACGCATGAAACGTTTTAACAGAGGCAGCAGGAAACAATATTTGACAGCTTTCACCCTCATAATGTTGATCAATAACATTTATAGACCTCAGTTAGTGCTTCTAAATTTAGCAAGTGCTAATCCATTAATAGATTTTAAAAATTAGCAAAAGCTCTAAAGCACTAATCAGGAAATTAGTGCTTTAATGCTTTAGTGGAACTGTGCCCACCACTGCCTCCATCAGACCAGAAGGACCAGAAGGGGACAACACTCAATCATCAGAACCAGTCCCGGACTCTCACCGTCCATGTCCTCGTTGTACCAGGACTCCCAGCGGGTCCGGACTTCTCGCAGCCATCCCTCGGAACTCTCCGAACCCCTGGAAGCTTCTCTCCGGACCAGCTCGCTCAGTTTCTGGATCCTGCGGACGTTCTTCAGGGTCGGGTACCGGGTTCCGTGCCTGATGACGGCGGTCAGGTGGACCGGGGAGCAGGACTCCCCGGGCGGGGGTCTCAGCACGGTCCGGTTCACCGATAAAACGTCCCGCATCAGGTCCGGGTTCACCTCCTCATAGCGGCTCTTGGTTCCGAAGTAAGCGGCGATGTTCGGGATGTCCGGTACCGGCGGAGAGGAGCCCGAGAGAAGGGTCGGAACCAGGCTGAGAGCCGCCAGCAGCAGTCCGTGTGTGGCCGTACAAACCGGTATCATTTCTGCAGGGGAACCGAACCTCAACCCAGCTCCTTTGGGTTTGTTTATCTTCCGGGTTTGTGATCTTTGACTCTGCGCTCTGAAAACACTGTAGAAGTTTATGGATCCGCCATTTTCCTCAGAACTTCAACAAACGAACCGACTAATATCATTTATTTATACATTTATTGAAAATCAAACCGATAATATAATAATAATAATAATAATAATAATAATAATAAAAACTTCCAGTTCTTCCTCGGTTGTTTATATTTTTAACTGAACGGATGTGACGGATCGGGGTTTCACCGCCATCTACCGGCGGACTGAGGAACAACAGACTTACAGAGTTTGACCAGCAGGGGGCGCTTTAACTGTCTGAATTATTAATTTTACAATTTGTTTTCTGGGTTTATTTATCCAAACAGATTTAAAAACGTTGATATAAAACTACAAAATAAATGAATGCATAATAAACTTCGGATTAATAAAACTCAGCAATGTTTAGTCTGAGTAAACTATGAAAAGAAATTGACATTTTGATCCCCTCTCTGTTAAAATGCCTCTAAAGGCTTGATTTGAAGCTAGAGTAATTAACCAGAAGATTTACTGTGGTGTTTATTTTCCAGACTGAATATCAACAGCTGTTTGTTTATTAAAAATAGAAAACAGCATTTATTTATTTTAAAATTATTTTTAAAAATTTCTAAGTGGGAAATACACAAATTTATAATAATTGTGATCATTAAACCCAGATCTTTTCATGAAACGTCTAACTGCCTCATTTTTGAGATTATGACCCCAAAAAAAGAAAACATAAACTCCTTTGGCTTTCCCAAAACCTTCCTGGTCAGCGCCCTCAGCTCCTGCAGGAGACGATCATATAACTGTTTGATCTGTGATTATTTGTCCTGACTTGTTTGTAGTTTTAATTGTTCGAAAGCTTCACAGCGTTCACACAACTCAGATCATTTCTTCTTCCACACGTTTTTCAGCATCTACCTCGTTCCACAATGTTTGTGCTTTTCAACAATTCATGTCTTAAAACGTTCAGCTCATTCATGTGAGGGGAGCTATGACTTTTGCTACTTCAGCTATTTATACTTTTTCAGCTATTTCACTTTTTCAGCCACTTTTTTGTCATTGAAAATAAATCAACATCTTTAAACTCCTTTAAAATGTTTCTAAATCTGTACAGAACCTTACACATTTTGTTCTAGTTATGCTCTTTTCCTTGTGCTAATTTTAGCTACTTGTTTAGCTAATTTTAGCTTCTTTCTGCTGTTCCAGTTAAAATTCAGCTTTTTTCTGCTATTCTTCTGCTTTTTTCTACTTTTTGCATTTTTTCTGCTACTTTTTGCTATTTTTGCTTCTTACAGATGCTTTCTTTTAGGCTAAATACACATTTTTTGTGGCTATTATAACATTTTTTCTTTTCAGAAAAAGACCTCCTTTTCAGTTGTGGCCCCTTCATGTTAGACAGGCTTCAACGTTTTGAGTTTTTAAATCTCATCTTAAAACACAAAAGCTTTGACTGTAGTTTGAGAGTTGTTTTCCTTATTTATTTGGTCTGTTTTTATGGTTTATAATTGTTTGTATATTGTCTGTAACACTTTGTTTTTAATATTTGCAATATGTGAAGCAC